GCCGGAAAACCCAGTAAAAGTCGACGAGGCCGGATTTGCGGGGCGCCGTAAGTATAGTCGTGATGATGATGATGATGATACAATATAAAATTATGAGAACAACGGCTCATGCATTGATGGTCCATAGTATTGTCAGGGTACCGATAATAAGATACTTCTACATACTTAAGCGAGATGCAGTGATTTCGATCCCAATCACTGAATGTGAAGTAAAAGCGATTTCAACAACAAAGTCTGACGAATGTCCAGCTTATTAGCGTCTTAAACCATCAATTACCAGGAAATTTGCATTGATTCAAATAGATGTGCGTATATCCAGCAGACCGAGAGGACTTGGCTGGAGAGCAAGATTAAGATTTTTAATAAAAATCACGGAGTCTCTTGAGTCACGGTTCACGGACCCCAGTCCATAAAAAAGTGTAACGACTTGCCCAATCTATATTCGGTGCTGAGGTTCAATTTGGCTAAAGCAAGTAACCGCCTGAGGAACCCACAGGCCATCGCGTCATCTTACGCCAACACTAGGCCGAGCAATCATCACGCCTAATGCCACCACGCGTGATTCGAGTTCAGCAGGTCACAGCCCGCATGTCGGTCAGCACACAAGGGGAATTATCGTTAATTGTCGTTATATGTCATACATGGGTAGTAATGAATGTAAATACTGCAACTTCTTGTGCATGTATCACCCGTTTCTGCTATTATTTTGTTCTCATATCTCTGATAAAGAATCGGCGACGGATGTCGAAACATCAGGCGACTAAAAGTGTTGTCCCAGCGATCGAATTGTCTTTTCAATTACTCCCTGGGACCCACATGTTCGCTTACATTGGCAATTGTTGCTTAATTGTCGATTTTTAGTTCGGACTTATTTTTCGCAATACAGATGACCTATTTGAAATCTGATTCTGACTTTTTATCAATCGAACACCAGATAGTAGGAATTACGTTATATGAGCACACTTATTGTCTTCTTTTTCCTGTCCTTCTTCTTCGTCCTCATCGTCGTTCCGATGTATGGGGTTTGTATACGCACAGGCTGCTAGAGACACGACCATGTATGGGAAGAGAGACTATCAGGAAACACATGGTGTTGCATTGCTTATGTCCATCTCAGATCTGCAGATTTCCAGGTAAGTTTCGTCCTACCGGCTGCCGAAGCACAATTGCAGCTGTTTGTACCTAGTGTCGAAATCAGTTAGAAAGTAAGACGCTTCAGCACCACTCTAGAGCACAGTCAACATTATAGGCAGAAGAACATGGCCGGAAGCAACACCTGAAGTTGGATATGACTGGTTGATGGCGGCTAATAAGCCAAAAATAGCCATTCTAGTCTCCCTGGTCTTTGTCAGCGATGCTCTTCTGTCTATAATACTACCCGCTGCATGGCTGCTGGCGGAGCTCAAGAGTGAGCCCCACGACAGGACGGGAGAAGCGAGTCCCGGAACCGATCTGTAAGCGCGCTCAATCACCAAACAGTAATACTAACCAAGTTGCAGCTACCAAAATGGGGCTAAAATGGTCCGAAATGGTGAGAATGACATGAGTCGCGAGTCATCTTATTACTATTTCTCGAAAAGGAACGCGTCTGAGCACTTCCCCCGCGTCGGATGACCACAGTGGTGGGCACCACTGTGGCTGGGTAGAACTAAATTTTGTCGTGTATAGAGATGTCTAAACACACTTTATGATCGTCCGTTGTTATTTTATATGTTCCATTTCTGCTTCCTTCTCGCTTTTCACGAAACTGGCCGTTGCAATTGTGGTATTATATAGGAAAACTGTTGCGGCCAACTTTTCCTTCTTTTCGACTCACTCTATTCAAAATGAAAAAAAAGGATTCTTAGTCTTGGAGTTGATTCACCTCTGAACCGTACGTTTCCCGGAATCCCTGGATGGCCAATCGGCCGGCTAATTTGTACTCCGCGAAGAGTCCAGACTCACCCTGATTTAACTCTTCTGTCATTGCAGAAACTCTTGGAGGATCCGCTGTACTTTGGACTTCGCCAAAAACGAGCAACTGGTGATAATTACAACCAGTTCGTTAATGAATTCATGCAAGCCTGCAGCAAAGTGTGAGTTTCCAGTTATTGTTGTCTGATTTAACATTCTTATGGACTTCCACAATTTCCCACAGGGTCTGAGTAAGGTTCCCTTTTCATTTTGAATCTCATTTTTTGCCCTTGTCCTCCAGAACAGCGGGTTATTTTTTTATGTAACTGCATCATTAGCTAGTTTTGAATACCAGCTCATCCCTTTTCCGTTAATTTCACTTGATGTGAACACTAACTACCGACACCCGTAATATCCATGCAGACCGTAAAACATCTTCGTTGCCTTCCTGCCAATAAATGAAGACACGAGTAAATCCTAGCATCCAAATAAAAGATTAGTGTTTTATGGTAGTTGCCAATTTAGATTTTCAGATGGCTCGGGACCATTTCTATCATGTCTTATTTGCACTGGACTGAAAATGTCGCTGTCATTTGCTGATACGCCAGTCAGTCATGAGCAGACGGCAACCACCACGATCCTAAACCTTATTGCGAGTAAGAGAAGACTCACGTCCAGGGGTGGAGAATTATATGCAGAAGGGAATGCACGTGCATCTGAATCCGGTTAATAACTAGACGCCCGCCGTCTAGCATAAACGGGGTAGATCTCCAGTGTACTGGATGAAATTACACCCGCGACAGCTTTTGATTTGATTGGCAGGTTTGTATGACTGTGACTAATACGGACACCACATACAGCATCGTGGTAATAAAATTAAATTCGCCTGGCATTTGATAAATCGAATGACTGATTGCTCATCGGAGGCCCAGGCTTCAACCAATCCACGCCTTATTTTTCTTCTGGCGCGGACGATTATCTTAGTGGCTGCCAAGTTAAATTCATGACCCGTTCCGTAGGTACGGACAGCTACTTGAGGTAATCCATCACCGCGTCACACAGCCAGCTTTTTCTCGCGTATGCGCTATCCGAGCACGCGTTCCGTCTGACCGGCGTGGTTAAAAGGGTGGTTTAGGCACGTGTTGCGATATACTACGCCCGACTGTTCACTGGGATTTAATCGGTCCTCGAGTTTCATCACATTTTTGCGCATGGTATTTTTGGGATGGTTTACATTTCCGACTCCTAGTTTTGAAAGCTCGGACGAATTAATAGGCGCTTCCAGCAATCAAATAGCCCCCTTCTTCACTTACACCTACACCCGGAATGCCAGCATATGTCTCAATTCGAAAACTAAATGTATATGGCATTCGAGAAGCGCTTCCAACGAAACCAGGGGCAGCGCCAGGTCTGTAAAATCTTTTCTAACTAACCCTTATATGTTTTGTCAGGTGGCGTTGTAGCGGAGGCGTCTATTACACCTTAGTGACTAACTCTGATGGTACTAGCTCCGGAACTGTAACTGGAGAAAGAATCGTAGATCCATGTATTCGGTACTTCAAATGACCGACTTTTGTGCATCTAGATCAACCGAATACTAGCAGAATCCATGCTGATCGCTAAATTAAAGGGATTATTTGCAGGCTTGTCGCGTTCTCGACCTTGTCCATGTCCATTTTTACCCTATTTTCGCCCCCTTTATGATTTTGAATTGCCAGATTAGAGCGATGGCGGCAGTAATAACTGACCTACACAGACCGACCACATATAATAGTCCAGTTAAATCTCTGGGAGAGCCGCACTGCATGATGTCTCATCGACTTAGCCGCTGGATCAGCCGGCTGTTCAATCGTCTCCGCTTAACCTCAGTACTGTCAGCTAGACAATACATTCACCCTAGAGATATCTTTCTCCTTCTAACAACAGTTACAGGACTGCAACAAGTCTACATCCCCAATCACACGTCCATATCATACGTAGATAGTGCTTCTCATGTTAACCGCGTGTTTTATGAACTTCAGAGTTGATTACACAAAAAACTGTCCTTTCAGAGTATTCACTGTAGGCAATAAGTTAAAGAGTATTCAAACAACGGAGTTAAGCACCTTCGTGGATATGGAGGAGCATAAATGGTTGGCACACCTAACGCTTTATCTTATGGTTGGTGAGGCCATAGTCTACGATTATGTCTTTCAACTTGCCGACAGTTGTACCCATTGCCTACTGCCGTATTCAGTGCAACGAATATTACATGGATTAAGTTAGTAAACACTCTTAGTTGAAAGTATACAAGAGGGATAACATTTAGTGGACTCGTTGATAAATAGCCCAAGTTGCGATTACCATCTTGTCTTTAACTACTGTGATTTTCAGATTGCGCATGTAGGGACAATTTTTCATTACATCTGCGATTGTTGATTAACATTTGATGATTACCAACCTTTTGCATCTTCTTTTTCCTCTCTAGATTCGGCAAGGATGTGTTCATTCAGTTCGAGGGATTTGCCCATGAAAATGCCCTTCTTTTTCAACAGCGGTACAGTGTATTGTACAGCACCTTTAATGATGATAGTAGGGTGAGTTGGCATGTTCGTTAACATTTTCCTGACTTTGTTTGCTGGCTTTCCCTTGTTTCAGACAGTGCGCGCTAACGGTCTTCCTCGAAGGCGCCAGAAGGCACCACTGTAGCTATGTTCATATGAGTTCTAGTGCAAAGACTGGTGTCCGTAAACCTGATGCTTGTGCGACCATTATTGACAGGGTTTCTTTCGTCGAAGTGCTTTTGAAAACAACTGCGAAGGTCAAGTGCCTAGACGTCTGGCATAGAAAATGGATGGATGGGCACTCACCGATCGATTAAGGGACTCCATCGTCCCGTTCTGCCTTGGGGCTCGAACCCGCGATATCGGCTGGGGCAACAAC